AGCCATGCCATAGCTCTGACACGATCAAAATCTCTCAGCTTTCGTCTTGGTGACATGCTGATGCGATACATGATTTTGCTCAAACGGCGGCTTTTATTGTCACCAAAGTGAGCACATTTGGAGACCAAACATCTGTTTATGGCGAAATGCCCGTGTCCGTGGTGTCGGACACAAATAAAAAAACAACAAAAAAACAAAACCCAGCAAATTTGGCTAAAATTCCCCGAGGAATTCCATGCTGAACGTGGTGGTTTTGCCACTTTAGGAAGCTTTGCAGTGCACATTGGTAACCCATTAACACTTTCCGAGTAAACAATTGAAACATTCGTTGCTGTCATTTTTAAGGAATTTTTAAAAATCAGGGCTGTCTTTCAAGGTGGTCTTTAACTTATGTTGAAGTCTGTATTTGGCAACTTGGAAACACATGTGTCACTTTTCTCTCAAGATTTATTGCTCCATCCCAGGAGAATGAAAATATAGAAGACCAATGACTTTCAGTTGATGTTAATGTACCGATCATTCCTTTCATCGAAAGGGGGCCCAGTTAGTAGATCAATATTTTGTAAAGATCTGAAGGCTCTATTCTAGAAAATTCCTGAATAAATACTAATTTAAAAAATCCTAGTGGGTGGTTTCTACTGATTTTAAATGGTTTACAGCTGGGACGATATGGCTTTTAAAAGCAAGTACGTCATGATTTTCTAATCGCGAGATTATCTTTATTGAACGCATGTTTTGAGAACTTTTAGGGCAAAAAAGTGTTCACTATAAAATCAATTTCCTGTAAGTACTTTTACCTCTAAAAAGTGTCGTTGGTGAGCTGTGACGTAACCCATAATATGTGTATACAAAATGTGCGTGAGAAGCGGGAAGTGCTGTGAACAATTCTATTTTCCGCATCAAGGAGGTTTGAAGTATTTCATATAAATTTATGAAGAATTTTTTTTTAGTCTAGCCTCAATTGTTGTGGGAAAAAATGATTAAGTTGACTAATTGAGACAAACTGCTTTGCAAAGTATTGGTGACATTGATTCACCCGTTATAAAGATATTTGAGGATAAGTTGCGCCACGAATTCTTTTACCGCACTATAGCTCGTGTGTGATTGCCTGGCTAGATGTAGAAGGTTACAAAATGAAAATAATTATCTACCGAGATAGAATTATGTAGCATGTTCTTTTTATCATAAAGAGAATGGACAACTGCCAGTTAGAATTTAGGGGAGAGAGAGACAGGGAGATACAGGGAGGGAGGGAGAGAGAGAGAGAGAGAG